CTTCGTGGACAAGTTGAACATGAGCCAACAGTCCGATGCAGCAGCTAATGGGATTTTGGGCTGCATCAAAAGGAGTCTAGTTCTAGATCAGTGGTTCTCCAGAACTCCTAGACCAGTGGTTCTCAACCTGTGGGTCCCCAGATGTTTTTGCCTTCAAGTCTCAGAAATACTAACAGCTGGTAAACTGGCTGGGATTTCTGGGAGTTATAGGCCAAACTCCTGGGGACCTAGAGGTTGAGATTGAGGGAAGTCATGGTGCCTTTATATTTGGCTATATTTAGACTTCACCTGGAATACTGTGTCCAATTCTGGGCACCACAGGTTAAAAGAGATATTGACAAGCTGCAAGGCATCCAGATGAGAGTGACTAAAATGATCAAAGATCTGGAGACCATGCCCTATGAGGAACGTCTTAAAGACTGGGTATGTTTAGCTTGAAAAAGAGAAGGCTGAGAGGAGACATGATGACCATGTATAAATATGTGAGAGGAAGTCATAGGGAGAAGGGAGCAAACTTGTTTACTGCTTCCCTGGAGGCTAGGATGCAGAACAATGGCTTCAAACTACAAAAAAGGAGATTCAACCTGAACATTAGGAAGAACTTCCTGACTGTAAGAACTGTTCAGGAGCAGAACACTCTGCCTCAGAGTGTGGTGGAAGCTCCTTCCTTGAAAACTTTTAAACAGAGGCTGGATGGCCATCTGTCAGGGGTACTTTGATTGTGTTTGCAGATGACCAAGGCAGTTTTAAACAGGGTATTTTAATACTGAGATAAATATTTTTTAATGTTTATGTATGCATATAATTAATTCTTGTCCTAGCATTGAATGTTTGCCGTATATTTGCTGTGCTCTGTCCTGAGTCCTCTTTGAGGTCAGAAGGGCAAAATATAAATGTTTTAAATAAATAAATACATAAATATTTTTTCCTGCATGGCAGGGGGTTGGGCGAGATGACCCACGTGGCCTCTTTCAGCTCTGCTATACTATGATTATATGAGTCTATGAATACCATTTACATTTTTAAAAAATCACAGAAGGGTTTTCCATTGATCCCTCAATAAGAATGCCCCATTAAAAAAAGAATGTGTGTCCATGAGTGTTAAGAGTTACCCCTCTATTCCGTTTTGGTTAGACCACACCTGGAATATTGTGTCCAATTCTGGGCACCACAATTCAAGAGAGATATTGACAAGCTGGAATGTGTCCAGAGAAGGGCGACTAAAATGATCAAGGGTCTGGAGAACAAGCCCTATGAGGAGCGGCTTAAAGAGCTGGGCATGTTTAGCCTGAAGAAGAGAAGGCTGAGAGGATATGATAGCCATGTATAAATATGTGAGAGGAAGCCACAGGGAGGAGGGAGCAAGCTTGTTTTCTGCTTCCCTGGAGACTAGGACGTGGAACAATGGCTTCAAACTACAAGAAAGGAGATTCCATCTGAACATGAGGAAGAACTTCCTGACTTTGAGAGCCGTTCAGCAGTGGAACTCTCTGCCCCGGAGTGTGGTGGAGGTTCTTTCTTTGGAAGCTTTTAAACAGAGGCTGGATGGCCATCTGTCAGGGGTGATTTGAATGCAATATTCCTGCTTCTTGGCAGGGGGTTGGACTGGATGGCCCATGAGGTCTCTTCCAACTCTTTGATTCTATGATTCTATGAAAATAGATACAGGAGCAACTTGTGACCTACAGGCTGTAGTTTCTCCATCCACACAGTAGAAAGATAGAAAGCAATCACAGCTATCAGGATAGATTCTCAAACCAAAGCATTAAGGCCAAGGTCTGTAACTCTGAAATCACAAATATGTGGAATGGGCAATGTGCTACCTATATCTCTCTGAAACCTCACAAATATTACTGGAAGAGCTGTGCCAAAAATTCTTCTCCCCAATATTGATTGCTCAGTGCAGATCCAACATTTTGCAGACCCACAACACACTATAGATTGCACAGTTCACTAGAGCATTAACATAGACGTAGTGTAAAACAACCCCATGGTGGATTCATGCTTCAGTTTCAGATTGAAGACCATTATATAGCCATTTGTTGCTCGATATTATTAAGTTATGAACAGTCAGTTTTGGAACTGAAATTTTGGATTCAGCTCCTGCATCATTGAAACTATATGGACCGGTGCAGTTTCTCTGTCTTTTTTGGATACTGGCCCAAGTTGTAATTCTGTCCTCTTTTACAAGAAAGATGCAGCAATATATTTAAAATTTATAGGTTCAATATATATTTTAATTGAATCGATAACATATGGGCATGGAATCATTTTAGCCCTTCCACAGAGCAGGAGAAAAGAAAGAAGATGCCAAACTTCAATTTTTGACTTTTGAACACATCTGATGTGTCAAGCTCAGAAGACATTGTGAAGGAAGCCCAGTCCCCAGCTCACAAGATACAGAAGGGCAAGAAATCATTGCCCAGTTTGAGAAGTCCAAGGAATGGCTTTACTAAGAGTCAAATTCCAATAGGCTCATAAACATGTGCGTATTGTGGAGCTGGGACATGCTGCGTCTGCTTGTGGTTAATCCCATCACAACCCAGATGTATATAACATTAAGTAGGCCACAGATCTGTCTTTGGCCAAGATTTTTATGACAATATAACAATTGTTCAGAGTAACATCTCCTATATAAAATTGACACAGAAATCAGGAACATTAGATCGGCCCCCTCCCTCTTAACATTTTGGAAAAGAGTCAAGACTTGGTTGTTTGAGCAAGCGTCTGAAAATGCAAGGTAAAATACATAGGAACTGGAACGACTGGATGGTGTGATTGGACAATGTTTTTATTAGGAGACAAAAATGATCTATGTTTGAATACTCTTGTTATGGTTTTATATTATGCGTTAATGTTTTTAAATGTTTTATGGTGTTTTTGGGCATCGAATCGTTGCCACTGTAAACCACCCTGAGTCACCTGAGGGCTGCGAAGGGCAGTATACAAATACAGTAAATCTATATCTATATAAATAAAAATGTAATGTTCGTTTGTGGGATCAACAGAACTCAAAAACCACTGGACGAATTGACACCAAATTTGGACCCAAGACACCTAACAACCCAATGTATGTCCTTCACTCAAAAAATTGATTTTGTCATTTGGGAGTTGTAGTTGCTGGAATTTATAGTTCACCTACAATCAAAGAGCATTCTGAACTCCACCAACGATGCAATTTAACCAAACTTGGCACACAGTTCTCCCATGACCAACAGAAAATACTGGAAGGGCTTGGTGGACAGTGTCCTTTGGTATTGGAGTTGTAGTTCACCTACATCCAGAGATCACTTTGGACTCAAACAATGATGGATCTGGACCAAAACTCTACACAAATACTCAATATGCCCAAATGTGAACACTGGTGGAGTTTGGGGGAAATAGAATCTTGACATTGGGGAGTTGTAGCTACTGGGATTTATAGTTCACCTACAATCACAGAGCATTCTGAACCCCACCAACGATAGAATTGGGCCAAACCTCCCACACAGAACCCCCATGTGGGCCACAGCAATGCGTGGCAGGGGAAGGCTAGCTATATATATAAAAATGCTCTGTGCGTAATGAGTACCTTAAAAACAAAAGAACCAATGAACGAAATCACACCAAATTTGGCAACAAAACGTCTCACAACACAAGGAGTGACCATCACTCAAAAATTATGATTTTGTCATTTGGGAGTTGTAGTTGCTGGTACTTATAGGTCATCCACAATCAAAGAGCATTCTGAACTCTAACAACTATGGAATTGAACCAAACTTGGCACACAGAACTCCCACAACCAACAGAAAATACTGGAAGGGTTTGGTGGGCATTGACCTTGAGTTTGGGAGTTGTAGTTCACCTACTTCCAGAGAGCTCTGTGGACTCAAACAATGATGGATCTGGACCAAACTTGGCACAAGCGCTCAATACGCCCAAATATGAACACAGATGGAGTTTGGGGAAAATAGACCTTGACATGTGGGATTTGTAGTCACTGGGATTCACAGTTCACCTACAATCAAAGAGCATTCTGAACCCCACGAACGACAGAATTGGGGCAAACTTCCCACACTGAACCCCCATGACCAACAGAAAATACTTAAGACCATCCAATCCAACTCCCTTCATCAGGGCAAGAAAACATAATAAAAGTCCTCCTGACAAAGAGCCATCCAGCTATAGATATAGATATAGATAGATAGATAGATAGATAGGTAGGTAGGTAGATAGGTAGGTAGATAGGGAGTTGTAGTTGCTGGGATTTATAGTTCACCTACAATCAAATAGCATGATAGAATTGAACCAACCGGGTCATACAGGACTCCCATGACCAACAGAAGGGTTTGGTGAGCATTGACCTTGAGTTTGGGATTTGTAGTTCACCTACATCCAGAGACTACCATGGACGCAAAGAATGATGGATCTGGACCAAACTTGGCATGAATATTCCATATGTCCAAATATGCACACAGATGGAGTTTGGGGGAAATAGACATTTGGGAGTTGTAGTTACTGGGATTTATAGTTCACCTACAATCAAAGAGCGTTCTGAACAACCACCAACGACAGAATTGGGCCAAACTTCCCCCAGAGAATCCCCATGACCAACAGAAAATACTCAAGACTATCTAGTCCAATTCCCTTCACCAGGCCAAGAAAACGTAATCAAAGCCCTCCTGACGAAGAGCCATCCAGCCATAGATATAGATAGATGATTCACACACACTCACACAGATATAGTATCATAGATTTGAAAGGGACCCCTGAAGAAGGACAATTATATGTTGCCTGTTCCAGAGTAGGCTAACCAGACAATCTCCACATCAACACTGACAAAGAAACAGCAAGAAATACTGTTTACCCACAAGCACAAAGAAATTACATATATTAGAAACCAACACTTTCTCATTACTTTATTTTTCAGATCAACAGACTGGGCCACAGCAATGTGGACACAGCTAGTAATAAATAAATGCATAAATAAAGAAATACATAAATAATATTTGCATCCCTACCTTCATACTACGTTCTCCCTTTTCACCCTGTACAACGAAAAATGCAGAAAGGAGAGAAGACAGAAATAAGAACTTAGGAAGGTTTAGAGACAAGCTGTCAATGCCAAAAGGATGAAGAGTGAAAAAGGTTTATTCTTGTTAGATATGTACATTGGGTCAGAGCCTCTAATGAAAAAATAGGTTGAAGATGGTATAAAAAGCATTCCTTATGCATAGTGTCCACGATATTTTGTTCCTCCATTTTGTTCTTTGCTAGACTTGTTTGAGATTTTCCAAGCATTGCAAAACACCATCAAAGATGTCTGATGAGAAACAAAAGCACAAAGTGTAATTTGTGCCTTGGCATCTGTCTTCAGTGCTAGCTTCCAACCTTGGAACGTATCAGAAAAGAACAGAGGTCTACCACAAGTGATGACAAAGGATATTCCCCTCCCTTCTGGATGACAGCCTCTACTAAACTAGAAATGGAAGGAAGGTATTCTAGATCAGAGATGGGGTAGTTTTACTACTATACATCCGTACATTAAGTGCTGCAGTAGAGAGATGGGAAGGTGGGGTTAGAAGAAGAGAAGAGTATTCCTAGAATCTATCACAATACCAATCCTTATCATATTCTCTTCAAGTCAGTTTAGGTAAAGAAAAATATTTGTCTTTAACATTATATGTTAGGCAATCTGCAACCAAAGACCCACATAACCCAGGAGTCCTAGAATTCTAATTATGAAGAGAAAGAAAATATAGCTTTTTTCTTTTTATTTGACAAATTCAAAGGACTGCAAATTACAAATTTGTTAAAATATTAAGAGAAAAGTCGCTAATAGTTAACAGAAAAAAGATTTTCCACCTTATTCTTATATAGCGTGATAACATTTTAATGGCCATAACCTGTCTCCAAGAACTGGGAGTCAGCTGCATTAAGATCACTACTGACCGAAAGGTCATGAGTTCAAAGCCAGTCCGGGTCGGAGTGAGCTTCTGACCAATTTTGTGTAGCCTGCTGTTGACCTTTGCAGCCCGAAAGAAAGTTGCATCTGTCAAGAAGGAAATTTAGGTACCACTTATGTGGGGCGGCAAATTTAACTAATTTACAAGGCCATAGAAATCTCCAGTAAGCATGCAAAGAATGAGGAAGTACTTCATCAGTGTCACAAATGGTCGGTGAAGGGACAGCTCCCCTGGTGGCCAGAATACCCTCAAGAATAGCTGGAATGTTAAATTGCCTCTGTGTTTGTCTATATATGTTGTTTGTCTATGGCAGGGGTTCTCAAACTTTTTAAATGGAGGGCCAGGTCACAGTCCTGCAAAACTGTTGGAGGGCCGGATTATAATTTGGAAAAAGGCATGAATGAATTCTTATGCCCACTACACATATCTTATTTGTAGTGCAAAAAACACTTACAAACAATACAATGAAGAACAATTTAAAAATATATAAACTTATTAGCATTTCAGTGGGAAGTGGAGGCCTGCTTTTGGCTGATGAGATAGGATTGTTGTTGTTGTTGTTTGCTTTCAAGTCTTTCAGACTTAGGCTGACCCTGAGTGAGGGCCGGGTAAAGGACCTTGGAGGGCCGTATTCGGCCCTCGGGCCTTAGTTTGAGGACCCCTGGTCTATGGCATTGAATGTTTCCATGTATATGTACATTGTAATCTGCCCTGAGTCCCCTGCGGGGTGAGAAGGGTGGAATATAATTACTGCAAATAAATAAATAAATAAATAAATAAATAA